GTTTTCTTGTTTTTATTCCTTCTCCGGGAGTGTCAGCTCATTAGATCACATCCATGCAGCATTAAATAGTGTCCTCTTACCTTCATTGCTGAGTAAATGGGTTTTATGGATGGCTATTCTGGAAACTGAACGTGGTAAAATTCTTCTACATTTTGTTTTTAATGTATGACTTTCTAGCAAAAAGTATTAGTCACCAAAGAGCTTGCTAAATTTGCTTAAGCACGCTGAAACTTTTTTCCTTTAAGTCACAAACTGGCATGAGAAATTCTGGGGGAAGAAAATCCAACTGCTTCCTAACAGCCCTGACCACTTTACAGTAGCTGATTAATTAAACAGTTACTGTTAAAATGAGCTCTGATTTTTAAAAGCAACAGCCAGGGTTTGGATGGAACTTCTTTGAGTTTGGAGATGCAAACCAGATTTGAGGTGTGCGTTCTGTCTGTGTAATATTTCGATCCGATGAAAAGCAGGATGTGGGAGAATGTGACAAGCCTGGCTTGGCTACACTAAACTGATTTGGTGTCTTCAAGTACGTATTTGTGCCAAAAACTCAGGCACGACACGTTAATAGAGTAAGGACAAAAACAACTAATTATCTCAATAGATGAAGAAAAAGCATTTGACCAAATCCGACACCCTTTGTGATGAAAAAACAAAAACAAATTAACATAGAAGAGAACTTCCTTAACCTGATAAAGGGCATCTACAAAAAACCCACAGCTAACACAATACTGAATGGTGAAAGACTGAATGTGGTCCCTTAAGATGAGGAACAAGAGAAGGATGTTTACCCTTGCTACTTCTGTTGAACATTGCACTGGAGGTTCTAGCCAAAGCAATAAGACAAGACAAAGTAATAAAAAGACATCATATTGAAAAGGAAGGGGTAAAACTATTTGCCTATGACATGGTTTTGTATATAGAAAATCCTAGGCCGTGTGCGATGGCTCACGCCTGTAATCCTAGCACTCTGGGAGGCTGAGGCGGGAGGATTTCTTGAGGTCAGGAATTCGAAACCAGCCTGAGCAAGAGTGAGACCCCGTCTCTACTATAAATACAAAGAAATTAATTGGCCAACTAATATATATAGAAACAATTAGCCGGGCATGGTGGCCCATGCCTGTAGTCCCAGCTAGTCTGGAGGCTGAGGCAGGAGGATCGCTTGAGCCCAGGAGTTTGAGGTTGCTGTGAATGAGGCTGACGCCACGGCATTCACTCTGGACATCAAAGCAAGACTCTGTCTCAAAAAAAAAGAAAAGAAAGAAAAAGAAAATCCTAAAAAATACATACACATACACACAAACTAATAGAACCTGATAAATGAGTTCAGCAAGACTGCATGATTTGACATCAGTATAAAAACTATTTGTTTTTACACACTAACAATCCGAAAATGAATTTGAGAACAATTCCAATTATAATGGCATCAAAAAGAATAAAATACTTAGGAATAAACTTAACTAAAGAATTGTAAGACTTGCACCTGAAAACCACCAAATATCCCTTAAATAAATGATACTGAAAAAAAATGGACAGGCATCCTGATCATTCATGGATTGGAAGACTTAAGGTAGTTTAAGGAGCCGATACTCGTCAAATTGGTCTACAGATCCAGTGCATGCCTGTCAAAATCCCACCTAGCTTTTATTGTAGAAATTAACAAGCTAATTCTAAAATTCATATTTTATGAATGCCTATCCAAGGGACCAAGAAGACTCAAAACAAGTTTTTAAAAGAACAAAGTTGCAGAATCATACTTCATGATTTCAAAACTTACTACCAAACTACAATCATCAAGACAATATGGTACTGACATAAAGATGGACATATAGATCAACAGACTAGAGTTGAGAATCCAGAAATAAGCTCCTACAATTATGGTCAATTGATTTTTGACAGAGGTGCCAAAGCAGTTCAATGGGGGAAAACTATCCTTTCAGCAAATAGTGCTAAAGCAACTGGATAGCTATAAGAATGGAGTTAGACTCCTACATGCGCTATATATAAAAACAAACTCAAAATGGATCATAGACCTAAATAGAAGAAGTAAAATCATACAACTCTTAGATTAGATTAGGAGAGTAAATTTTTATGCCCGAAGGTTAGGCAATGGTTTCTTAAATATGATTCCAAAAATAAAAAGCAACAACAGAAGAAAAATAAATTAGCCTTCATCAAACTTAAAAACTTTTGTGTTTCAACAGACATCATGAAGAAAGTGAAAAAACAACACACAGAATGAGAGAAAAAATTTTCCAATTGTATATCTGATACAGGACTGGTATTCAGAAAATATATAAAGAGTGCTTACAACTGAACAATTGAAACACAAATAACCCAATGAAAAGAACAGATTAAAGATTTGAATAGACATTTCTTCAAAGAAGATATATAATAAGCACATAAAAAGATGCTCAACATCATTAGTGATTAGGAAAATGCAAATCAAAACCACAATTACATACCACTTTACACCCACTAGAATAGCGATAATCAAAAAGACAATAACAAGTGTGGCAAGAATGTGGAGAACATGGGACACTCATTCATTAGTGGTTGGAATGTACAATGGTACAGATATTTTGGAAAACAATTTCCCAGTTCCTCAAAATCTTAGACTTAAAATTACCATTTTAGCAATTCTATTCCTAGGTATATACTCAAGAAAATTAGAAACATATATCCACACACATAAAAAGAAATCTGTACGTAAGCATTCAGAGCAGTATTATTCACAAAAGCCAAAAAGTGGAAATAGTCCAGTGCCCACTAACTGATGAATGAAAAATGTGGTTTCCATACAGTGGCATAGTATTCAACGGTAGAAGGGAATGAATGATTGATACATGCTATAGCATGGTGCCATGGCCCGTTTGCAGGACAGGGGATGAACACAGAACACAAAAGAAAGACACAGACACACACGAAGACAGTTACAAGACTCGAGTGCCCAATGCTCTGGTCAATTTATTTTTTATACTCTAAAAAATTAAAGTTAGTTCCCTGTACATAACCACCCAGGCATTGCAGCAATGGCCATAAATTCCGGAACACGTAGCCTTAGGAATATGGATGTCCCCTGACTCGGGGTTTCCAGGTGGTTGCTCTAGGTGCCAGGCATAGATCACAAACCGAGATTAGCAAGGTTAGACAAGGCAGCCACGGGGTACACTTTTGCCCCCAGTTCCTCTAAGCTGGCCCCCTCTGGCAGCTGTGCCTGTCTTAGGTTGTTCCTGCCTGAGGAATCTTACCTGTCATTGACCAACCAGCCATCTTATGGGGCTGAGCAGCAATCACAGAAACTATGTGTTTATCGTGTGGCCTCCAGACCCCCACTGCCGTGGGGCTGGGCAGCTCTTGCCTTAGTGCAGAAACTCAGGCCCTTTGTTATGCCTCCAGGCAGCAACCTTGTTTGTCACAGGGACCCTGTCCGGAACACGTTACTCTCAAACGCTCTGGGCAGGGCACATACATTACTCACTATATTTAATTCTTAAACCAGGAAAGTATAATGTCAGTCCCTAACAGCGTGGATTAATTTTGAAACATCATTCCGTATGAAAGAAGCCGGTTTCAAAAGACCCCGTATTATATGATTCTATTTATATGAAATGTCCAGAATAGGCAAAATCATCGAGACGGAAAGTAGATTAGTGGCTGTCAGGGGCCGGGGGGCAGACGGATATGGGACATTCCTGCTAATGCTCTTGGTGCTGCTTTTGGAGGTGATGAAGATGTCACAAAATTAGAAAGTGGTGATGATTTCACAACTCTGGGGATATTTGAAGAGTCAGTGGGTTGTACACTTTAAAACGGTGAATTTTATGCCACGTGACTCTCGTCTGTAAGAAAGCTGTTATCAAAAAATTCAGGCATATTCGGGGATTAGAATCCTGGGCTCTTTCATCACCTTCATAAGGTGCTAATGAAACTAATAATAAAGGGAAGGGTACATATAAAATGGCCTATTTTCTTAAGATGTTCCTCCTCCATCCGTTTCTTCTCTTTTTATTTTATTGGTGGAAGCTAGGAATGTTTTTGTGTTGCTGATCTCAACATATTTATTGCTTCATCATTTCTGTAGCCATGGTTAAGGGAACAGATGGTAACCCTAAAAGAGAAATGTTCAGTTTGGGAGATTTGTGTCTTTGGCTGCTACCTTTTGAGATAATTCACATGCATGATCTTATGTATGTATATATATATATATATATAAACCCCACCAACATAGGGAAAATTTGGGTTTCTAATTAGGATTTCAAACCTACCAGGATCTTTAGTAGAGGTGAAAATGCCTTTCCTATGAGGTCTTCGGGCCAGATTTATTTAGTGGGGTTGAAAAATACATTTGCTGTCCCTCTTAAATAAAATTTCACCCATAATTCTTTCGCAGACCGCTTCCGTTTTCCAAGGCTTTTATGAAAACAGTTATGTTGTCAGTGTTTGTTAAATCTGCAGGTCATAGTTCTGGTCGGCGTGTGTATTGTGTATATTTAATTGCTATTCCAGTCAAGGAAATTGTGGTCATGGTTCATAAGCTGGTGGTTTACTTAGTAAAATATATATATATACATATATATATATATATATATATATATATATATATATATATATATATATATATATATATATATATATATATATATATATATATATATATATATATCCATTTCTCTCTCGGGATATCAATTTAGAAGGGGGAGATTGGGATTCGTGTTTCAATGCCCTGGGCGGGCTTACTTTGACCTTTGACCTTTCATGCTGGTTTCACATGCGTGTGGCATGTCGTTTGCAAACACACGTGTGCTCTGGAGCACCGCTCAAGAGATGCTTTGGTCAGACAGAGGCTGGTGGCCAAGGGAATGAGTTTATGGGTTGCAACCCAAGGGCTGATGACTAGCAGGGTCTTGCAGACATGGGATGGGGGGTGGGTTGTCGTTGTTGTTGTTTTTGTTTTCTTCCTTCTTCCTTCTCACCTTCCCCCTCTGCCGCCTGCAGGAAGATCTGCCTGCACTGCAAGTGCCCCAGGGAGGACCACATGGTGACAGCCATGCCACTCGAGATGGAGAAGACCATCAGCAAACTCATGTTTGACTTCCAGAGGAACTCGACTTCCGACGATGACTCCGGCTGCGCCCTGGAGGAGTATGCCTGGGTCCCGCCCGGCCTCAAGCCCGAGCAGGTACCGTCCCGTCCCCAATTGGGAGGGTGTTGGTTGGCTTGGGCTTTCATCTCTGTCTTGCCCGGGTCCTTCCTCCTCCCAGTCTGGAAGGAAGGCGTCTCTACTGACTCGGGAAAGTGGCTGGGGCTACCTGGGTTGAAGACGTCAGGGGCCCCAATGGGCAATGAGAAATTGAGCCTTGAGTGTGACCCATTGCAAATCCATTCTGTATCGCCATTGCTAACTGTTAATGGGATTGTCTAGAAGTGTCGCCGAAATGCTGACTTGAAAACATTATATAGTGAGACTTTGTTTTAAGGAAGAAGAGGAATTCTCCATTGGCCTTGAGTCTTTCAAACATTTAAGACAATTAAGATTCTTTTTCTTTTCTTTTTTTTTTTTTTTTTTTTCAGAGTGAGACTGTGTCTCAAACACACACCACACAAGCACACACGCACATTCAACACACACACACACACACCACACACACAAAAAAGAAAAACAAAAATAAAAAGAAAAAGAAAATACATTCGTGTGTATCGATGAGTCTATGGATCGAGAGAATGAACTAGTTACGCACTCTTTCAGAGGGCAGTTTTGGCATGACTGCACATGTTATAACACTGACCCATCACCGTCCTAGAAATTGTGGTTCAAGAGAAGAGCAGGCGCGCATACAAGATGCAAGATACATTGGGTTGGCCGGGCGCGGTGGCTCACGCCTGTCATCCCAGCACCCTGGGAGGCCGAGGGAGGATGCGCTCAAGGTCCAGGAGTGTCGAGACCAGCCGGCACTGAGCACGAGTCGATACCCTGTCTCTACAAAATAGAAGAAATTAGCTGACAGCTAAAATATATACGAAAACTTTAACTGGGGCGTGTGGCAGCATGCTATAGTCCGGAGCTACTCGGGAGGCTGAGGCAGGAGGATCGCTTGAGCCCAGGAGTTGGAGGTTGCTGTGAGCGAGGCTGATGCCATGACACTGTAGCCCAGGCAACAGAGTGAGACTCTGTCTCAAAAAAATAAAAGAAATAAAATAAAAAAAAAGAGACATAGGGTTAGCTGTTGCTGTCCTGAAATACAGAGGGAAAAAAGTGCCAACAATACAAATGGCCAAAAATAAACCTTCAGCCCCGTGGTGCTCATTAACGGTCCTCCTGGCATTCGGGATGGGTCAAGTCCCTTAGTGCAGGACCATCTGGCACTGCTGAGGATGGTTAGCATCTCAAGGCCCCACCCATCTGCCAGGGGAGTCCCCTAGTCATTGCGACAATAACTGCCCCTTCCCAAACAGCCATTTCCAAACGCCCCCTAGCGGTGCTGGTACCTCTCTGGGTTAGAAACTAACAGCAGAGACCTGTCCAACCATTACAAAGGATAATCTGGATTGAAATACACTGATACAGCCAGGTGCGGTGCTCACGCCTGTCATCCAGAACTCTGGGAGCGCAGGCAGGGGATCGCTGGAGTCAGGAGTTCAACACCCTGAGCAAGAGCGAGACCCAGTTCGCTACTAAAAAAAAAAAAAAAAAAAAATAGAAAGAATATACAAGACAATAAAGTATATAGAAACAAATTATGCCAGGCGATGGCACATGCCCTGTACGTCCGAGCTACGGGAGCTGGAGCAGGAGGACGCTTGAGCCCAGGAATTGAGGGTGCTGTGGAGCGAGGCGATGCCACGACACTCTAGCCGCGGGCAATAAGCGAGATCTGGTCTCGATGACGAAAAAAAGGAAATGTACTCTGATGCGAAAAATGCTCACAATATTACGCGTAGAAAAAAACAACAGGAGAACAGAGTCCCATCACATTTTTTGTCTGAAACGAACAGAAACGTGCCTCACGCACACAGAACTTGAATACACAGAGAAAACGGTTGCACAAAGTTTCCTGGTGGTAAGCAAAATTACGAGCGATTTAGTTGCTTCCTAGAGGTCTCATATTTTCTTTTCTTTTTTTTTTTTTTTCACGAGCAGTCCTCCTATTTTTTGATATAAAGTGAAAGAGCGATTTTCTTTTGGAGAGCAAAAGGTGAGCTCACAAGCCCTGCTCCTCAATGCGCTCCCATATCTTGTTGGCATGGTGACGGTGGCAGATTTGAACACAAGGACAGCAGCCGCCAATACCCAGGCTAGAACATAGTAGATGCTCAATAAAGGGGAAGGCCGCTAAAGTGAATCATCTTTTGGTTGTTGGCGCGAAGTTCTGCTGAAGTACCTCCTGCCAGATGACCTCGCTTGCCCCACTGGTCTCCTATCCCCCAGGGAGAGGGGCAGTGCTGGAGACATTTGGCACCAAAACTGACACGCCACTCGGCATCTAGGCAGGGTGGAGCCAGGGTGCTAAACCACCCACGCAAGCACAGGACAGCTCCACAGCAAGGAGCTCCCAGCCCGAATGGCAATAATGCCGAGGCCGAGCAATCCTGCTCGCCATTTGCCTCTTGTTATGGCTTGTTAATTATCTTTCTAATTCTTCCCCCCGGGGCACTGTCCACCCAAGTGTATCCCCAGAGCACCTGTCAGCAGCTGGTTGAGCTCAATGAAATTAAAGCCTAGAAACGCCACTTCAGTGAGGTGCAATTGGCTCACACTTAAGATCCTAGCACTCTGGGAGGCCGAGGCGGCACGGAGGCATGCTCGAGGTCAGCAGGTTCGAGACCAGCCTGAGCACAGAGTGAGACCCCCGTCTCTACCAAAAATAGAAAAGAGAATTAGCTGGACAACTAAAAATATATAGAAAAATAGCCCAGCGGTGGGCGGCTGTACGTCCAGCAACTCGGGAGGCTGAGGCAGAGGATCGCTTGAGCCCAGGAGTTGGAGACTGCTGTGAGCTATGATCATGCCTCCTCACTCTGGCTGGGGTGAACAGCCAAATTCCGGTCTCAAAAAGAAGAAAAAAAAATGACTTTGGACAGTTCTTCTGTTCTCCGCTCGCCGGAGGATCTCTGGTGACATTAAACAACTCATTTGGATGAGCAGAGGCAGGATAGGAAACCGACTTTTCTGATTAGTTCTCATCCAGTAATGTAGAAATCACGAGACAAAATGCCTTTGTGTCGATCATTGTTATTTATTCATTTTCCACACTGATTTTAAAATGGGTTTGAAGTTATTGAGTTTCTTAAGAAATAAATGCTTACATTCAACCGAATACTTCCCTAAATATGTTGTGACTTCATTTGTCATTACCATTTAATTGAAGGTTATTTCTTGGAAGAAATAGAATAATAAGATCCGCTGAAGTAATACTTATCAACCCGGGATCAGGGAGGTAAAAGAAGGTTCTAGTAAGAAGAACAGCACATTACTCTCAACGCTGAACTAGTCATTAATATTTGCCTCTAGCACAAAGCATGTTTCATTCACTATAATGTTCTTCTGATAGAAAAATCTTTTTCTCAATCATGGACAATAACATGAACTTAACCCACATCAGAATTTTTATTCAGTGAAGGGTACTTAGGAGACTCAAATTTTCTAATCTTACAGCATACTACACAGCTTTTTAAAAGCTTTAAATCATAAATAGTCCTTTAATAGATAGACTTTAAGAAGAGTTCATAATTAAAAATAAAAGTTCATCATTCTTCGCTGCACATGACGCAGTTTTAACCTTAATGTAGATTCATTTTTTATTAGGCAAGATATAAAATATCTCTCAAATAGCTTGAGAAGATAGTCTCTCTCCGAGAGCAATTCCCTTTCTTTGTATTTATTTTTTATTTTTTAATCATATTTTATTTTTTTATGATTTTTAATTTTTCGTTTTCTTTTTTTCCCCCCTTTCAGGCCGGTATCTTTTCTGCACATAATTTCCCTTTCTAATCATCTGTGTCACGATTTTAGAGAAGTTACGGAAAGAGAAACCATAAACCATCCCACAGAACAATAAGAATGTCACAGGTGGGAATACTCTTCATTTGACACAATCGAACCACTTGTTTAATAGGCATGTAATCATCCTTCTTTCAAAACAATTAGAGAAAGTCATCAGTTTTATGCTTCCCAAAGAAATTCCTTTTAAGATGAATCCAGTGGCTTCAAAATACCATAAGCACTCACTTTTGAATTGGTGAGTTTATCACAGACCCCCAGAGCTTCTGGAATTGTCATGTTCTCTGGGTCACTATGAGGTAGAAATGAGCGACATCATTCAACCTGGTCTTAGGAATAATCTATCTTAAGCGGGAACTGAAAACAGCCATACACTTTAGAAAATCAGGGGAAAGATGGCTGCTTAAGAAGTTGCTGGAAAAGTGGTGTTACCCAAGAAAGGAAACCAACTCGCAGATGTATCTTAGGTTCAAAAGCCGGCTCAAATGCTGTGGTAGAATGGAAATGTCAGACAAAGGTACCCAGTCAACCACCATCTCATCTGAGTGTCCAAACTCATTCAACATACTCTCATTCTCTCAAATTAATCTTTAAGAATGCAATCTGAACTGTAAGAGAAGAAAGGAAACATGAACCTTAACCTGCAAACTGGGAGAAAGCATCGTTTCTTCTGCTAATAACCTAGCACAGAACGACCTTCGTCTTATGAAGAATTATTTTTCTGATGTTCCGTTCTAATTTATCGTTCTCCTCTGAGGTACGAATTAGACAGAGATCACAAAACTGAAGTGCCTGTAGGTCCAGGAAGGGAACACAAAAGGATGAACACGACTTAGTGGAGACTTGGTGAGACTGAATTTGTCTACAAGGGGTGGGCCAGCACTCAACCTCCAGCTCGTGTAGAACTAAGATTCTAGACCCTCAAAAATTCAAGATATACAAAGGAACGTTTCCATGAAATATTTTTTATTTTTTAAGGTATTAGTAGTACTTAAAATTTCAACATACTTCCTGGCTAAAACAAATCCTACTTGTGTGCCTGATTTCATCTGCCAATTTGCACCCTCAATATTAGAAAAGAACGAGAAATGGCTATCAAAGAGATGGGATCAGGCGGGCGCGGTGGCTCACGCCTGTCATCCTAGCACTCTGGGAGGCGGTGAGGCGGGCCGGATCGTTTA